CCTGACTCAATATGGCAAGATCGACCAGGGAAAGCCTGCTTATGATCATACTTATATAACTTCTATATATAAGCGTTCCAGTATTCGAAAATCCACTAGTAGATGAGGATGCACCCAGCCCCAAAATTGGGTTGGAGTCCGCTGCGGAAAGGTGCGGCAAAATCTTAGGTGTCCTGGAAGACAAAATGAAAACATCATGTGAGAAATCCTTTTAAGGTTCTACTAGACAACAACGACAAATATCATGTTAGGCGACTACGGCTGAAACATCCTAAAGTGAAAGAATCCGACAGTCCCCCTTAAGTAGACAGAATATGGCTTTGGGTATATTATAATAGGATCCCCATATACCCCATATTCTATCTACTCAAGGGGGACTATAGGCACTAGGATGGCCAAAATGATCCTGAGTATAAAATCCTATAGTACACCCTATTATGCTATAGTAGTTTCCATTTTCTTTTCCATTATCCCTATATAACCGCTATATATCCCCTATAATCCCTATATAACCCCGAAAGGATCCTAAACACTAGGATGGCCAAAATGACAGTTCAAGCCTCAGGCCTGAAGCAACCTATAGCTGGCCTTCGATTAGCTGGCAATGAGGGAATGGAAAAGAAAATGGAAGCTAGTATTTAGGGTTTAGGGTTTAGGTATACTATAATGGCTTATATAGGGACTACTAAGGGGTTATATAGGGATTATAGGGGATATATAGGGGTGATATTGGGATAATGGAAAAGAAAATGGAAGCTACTATATACTGTAATGGCTTATATAGGGACTACTATAAGGGTCCATTGGGTCCATTCCTTCATTCCTAGGTAACCAAATGCCAGCAAGGACATGTAAAGGGCTTCATATTGGAGCCTTCAGGATCACTGAAGAAAACACGTAACATGGAGACATCCGGCACTTGGCTACTTGTCACGTTTCAAGTGCTCTCCATGCCAAACAGTCAGTGTGAACCTCATTACAGTGACCAGCACCACAATTAATCCAGTTAAAGGGAGCAAGTCAAGACCATAAACCAATGTTCCTCGACTTTTCTACCCATCTTATGCCTCAACTGGACCCGAATTTTGCGAGAAGCCCTCAGACGAAGATTCTTGTGAAACGTCCTGCGTCCCGTATCCCTCCAAATTCCCTGCATGATCTTGTGCAAGTTGAGAGCTGGAGGCAGCAATCAGATATAACCACCTGCACTCGGCGAAGCCGGAACTTATGCTGTCTATATATGATCAGCGAACCCTGAACCAAAAGACATACAGGGATTATGAACGGTCCTTCTCAAGGCTTCTACCCAGGGAATACCTTGAGCAACTCCCAACTCATGTGAACGTTTCGAACCGCGGTGGTCTCCTTATGAGCTACAATCTAAACCCCTTGAAGGGGGTGTAATATGGGGGATTACTATAGGGGTTCTTAAGGGGGATACTAGGAGTTTAGACGATGGCTCATACAGACTCTCAGCCACTAGAACCAGCTCATCTTTTTGACAACCCCCCCCCCCTCTCAACAGGACACTGATTATTGCAAATCCTCAACTTCAAAAAGCAACCTGTGTGCCTGTATCTTCCCATATCTCCCTCTATGAGTCCTATCGATTTATGCATGTATGCATGTATGCATATACGCACGTACGTACGTATGTACGTATGTATGTATGCATGCATGCATGCATGCATGCGTGTGTATATGTACATGTATGTGTGTGTGTAGGTGTGTATGTGCATGCACTCTATGACCCCTTTTTTTGACTAGGACCTCTCATTTGAAGAACCCCATGTTAGTCGTGGTCACCAAGAAGGATTATGTTCTTCCTGCATAGTGCCGAGCACGCATACTACCTGTATCTCTCTCTCTCTCTCTCTACGAGGACATGCACTACGAGGACATGCACGCACACATGCAACCATGTATTTACAAACATAGATACACTGCAAATGACGGCCTCCAGTTGGAAGAAATCTCCATGCTAGTGCAATCCCAAAACCGAAGCCCTAAAACCCCGAAACCCTAAACCATAAATCCCAAACCCTAAATCCTAAAGCCTATATAAACCCCAAGCCCTGATGTTAAGCAAAGCCACCAGCCCGCCGGTTGTACCTGGAGGTGAAGGAAGCCTGACAATGCTGAGAGCATTGTCTTACCGGGCCTTAACTTCTTGGTCGATGGGTTTAGGGTTGAGGGTAGGGAATAACGGAATATATGAGTGATGGTCCAAACTCCTTACGTCTGGTAATGGGCGCCAAATTGGGGTGTCGCTTTTAAATGCTGCCTATCGCTTTACAAGGTTTTGTGCTCAACTTGTCAACATGCGAAATTGAGAGTGTCGTTTTTCACTGCCCCCCTTCGCTTTACAGGACCTTCACCCCCTGAAAACGGTTCCCGTCGCTTTACAGGGCTTTCGCTCTCACGTCCACTACTGACGTAGCACCTTACAGCCGAGTATTGACTGTATTGGCACGCATGTATTGTTGAAACAAAAAATAGCCAGACATTCCCGCGGCAAGCCTTGTCTAGCTCTTTCCTTGGCTTTTCTTCGTCATAGGTTCCTTTAAGAGTTGGAGTGCTGAGGGCCCAGGCAGCAATCACACATTTCAGAGCATCTTATCCTACAAAGGTAAAACGGATGCAATATCACAGTGCCATTTTGATGGCGCTATAAACGATGTTACTTGCAACATAAATATTTTCCACCCGACCCTTCCCGAACCAACGAAAGGGACCCTGCAAAGAATACTCTCTCTCCACTTGCCTTGATGAGCAGGACCCTCCTAGTACCCTTGCTTGGGGTTATATGACCCCTAATCATGGGTACTTAGGCGAAATAAAAGCCAGCCGGTAGGTCTAGGCACATGGGTTTCCATAGTAGTTTTGGGGGGAAGCCACCCCTAAACCCTAAACTCCTTACACAAAAGCACTCGCTCGTTTTTACGACGTGGCACTGCTCTAGCGGGGTTGCCCTCAGGGCATCCTTCTGAAGACGCAGTGGCACGCAACCGGGCAAATTTTGAAATCAATATAATATGCTATACCTAGGGAATCATTTGGTATGTAAATTTGTGTTACGAAATATTTCAGGTACACTTTCCCAAAAAGAGTAACGAGCTCCAAAAAGGAGCCGGATTTCAAGAAATGTGGCCGAGGTAATGACTAGTCGTCTGTCTCGTGGGTTGTGGGTTTAATTATGTCCACTGCCCCTGCCCAACTTCCCATACACAATACGCACAGTGTGCAACAGCTGGCATTTTGCGGCGGCGACGACACCAATCCCGCCAGGATCTCAGCGCAAGTCAAAGTGTTCCTTCCAGAGTCGCCGATAGTGCATTAGACACTTTGATATGGTTCGGCTGACGCATGTAGCAGCAGCACATCTTCTGCTTATTCTGGCTACTCGCCCAACCACATCCTCATCACTCCACGTGCTCCAACCTCATATGAGATCATCTAGGGTTTTCTGTAGAGCATGCTCGAGAAACCACAGGATCGAAATGACCACAGGTGTTATCAGTAACCGGACAGCATCCCCAAACCCTAAACCCTAAACCCTTTAAGTGTTTACTATTACTGGCTGAGTGGCTCATCACATTGGGGATATCGTTGATGCCTTGTCGGAGTTGTCTGTCCATCTGCCACCTGGGATCATATTAGGAGGAGGGTTTAATATATATATATAGGGTTTATTAGGGATATAGGGTTTATTAGGGTTACTAGCTATAGGGTTTAGTTTGTTTATTAATGGTTTCTGGGGATAGCATGTTGGTACCGAACGGTCTTACATAGAAATGGTTAGTACAACAAGCACACATGAAACTTGCTACGGTCATAGCAAGGCACACTAGCTCGCCTTGCATGTGCAGTTTATGGCGAACCCTAAATAAGGGCCACCCCCGCTCGGCCGTCTCCCTCGCCAGCAACATGTAGCCAGCCTTAAGCCCGAAACCCTGTATAGAAAAACAGCCTGTGTAGCTATTACCCGAAAAAGCCATTAAATAACCGTATAGGAACCCTATGCCCCTGAGCCCTAATCACCATATCGAGGCTGGGAACCAACATCTTCCACCCGGCTTCCACAGCCACCGCGGCCTGCGGCCTAGACAACCAGATCCCAGCTGCATACAGTGTTCGAAAATGCAGACCCACAGCTTGTAACGTCCAGCGGAATATGCGGAATAGACCCAAGTGTTGTGGCTCCTTCTAATTTCTCTTGGTTTCCCATGTAACTCGACCTACCCTATAAACCTATAAATTTATGTATATACCCTAAATGGCCCTAGACCCTAAATCAGCTTCGATCCATATAAAGTCCGCGCGGCAATTGTCGCCTCATCCACCATGCCTACGAACTCTTCTAGCCAACCATTCATCACCCCAGCATCATGGCCCTTGCCACAGCCCCCTGGGTATTGCTGCAGCCTGGGAAGCGAAGGTAGATTCACCTTAAAATTGTTTAGGCCTGGGGTTCTTGAACCAAATTAGAAGTGAAGGCACCCCGAGATTTAAAAAACAAAACATCGCTATGGGCCATTATATAGGTTTCCCTACTACTTCAAACATCAGGCAAGGGGCTTTTCAATCTTCAAGGTCTTCAAGGTGAAGTTGGTGATAGACGTGCTCTTGCCATGCCTGTAACAGTAGTCCCGGAACATTGCAAAGCCATGGTCCAAAGAGGCTTGCAATGATCTGCCCCGAATGATTCCCAGACGGTGCAGCAGGAGCAACCCGGAACCACACACATCCTTGCCCCAGCCCACTATGGCGTATGTATGGGCTGGGTCTGGTAGTATGAACTCAACATTGTCGGCAACCGTGGCCAATTGCCGAAGCGGGGAAATTTCATTCGCTTTGAAAGGGCTTGGAAGTTGGCTTCGATCTGATTCACGGAAGGCTTGCGAAGACAGATCATACCAATCCTCAGTATCAAATCCAAAGCAGCGTTCAAACATAACCCCCCCGCCTTAACAGTTCAAGAGTTCATGTGCTAACATAGCTCAAGTGTCCTGCTCACAAAGATGACAGACCCGTCTTGAAGTGAACCCGGTAGAAAGATGCATTGCTTTCCTGAGATAAGGCCAATCGCCTTTGATGCCGATGACGACAAGGCGGAACGTCAGCTTAGTCTTTTGGAAGACTACCTAAGTTCATTGGGTATTTACTTCTTATAGGGGATCGATGTATTTATAGGGGGCCTGTACATTATAAGAATATTATAGCGACACGGTTGTATTTGGACATCCCGATTGGAAACAAAGCTGCATCCACACCATCCTCATAGGCCTTGGAAAGGTCACCCACCATCGCTTGCATGAGGGTATCAAGAGTCTTATCGCCACAGTAGAGTTCACTCGGCACAACGCTAAAAAGCATGCGCGTTGTCAAGGAATGCCTGGTGTCTAGGGGATCTGAAGAAACGTACTTTAAGTATTGAGGGTTTAAGATTGATCGAAACTTCCAAAATTCTGAATCCGGTGGAGCACCCAGAGGAGTTGGTGTACGAGGGCCCCTTGTGGCTTATATGGGGTTGCATGGACAACACCATTATAGGTCTCTTAGCTTTACCACGACCTTCATCTCCGTGAAGCAAGCAAGGTATGCACCTTGAAGCCATGCGCTCATCAAAGTCAGGGCGACTGTACAGATGAAATTCCGGGTGGATATGCCTGAACTTCTCCCAGTAGTCAGAAAACAAAGCCGTATAGGCTTCAACCGCGTCCAATGTATTGCCACCCAAGAAGGCCTCACCGCCCGAATGCAGTGAGAACCGTAACCATGCAGATGGCAATAGAACCGGATATTGCATGTTATCTCTCCGGGGTTTGCCTTTCTTGATGACCTGCACCGGTGTCGAGATAATGCTTACAGGAATTGCAAGCTGGCGCCCCTGTACGCCAATCAAAGAATGAAGATTTCGAGAAGAGTTTCGGTGCCCTCTGCCGCCTGACCCACAAGCCGCCAGACGACATAACTCAGGATCCACTGCTCCTTAGATAATATGGGGGCTTTCTATATGAATCGGACTCAACCTAACCCTAGGCTATAACCCTATAATATAGTTAACCTATATCTACCCTATAAACCCTATACCGAATCCTATACAAACCCTTTTGGAAACCAGGGCCATACTTTCGCAGCTTCCGGTTAGCGACTTGCGCCAGTCGCACAACTCTGCGAGCACTTTCTGCCTAGGATTTGACTGAACCTATATGATCATTACTTATGAGAGGGCCCTATTAAACATTGCAATCTCCATCCTATATATATGCAATTGAGCCACCCCTGCTTCAAAGCCAACCAGCAACTCATCCGCTAGGTCGCAATCGCTGTCCATAGCATCCAGATCGTCGGAGTCAGGACCTGCAAGAGCAGCAGGGTTGTGTAGGGTTTATATGGGTATATAGGGGAATATCATAATGGATCAAGATGGGGTTACTAGATCGAATATTGAATTTATATAAGGGACAGTCTCTAGCGCGATTGCGGGCCCCAATCGGGTAACGGGTTTAGGGCGGGTGATTCCTGTAGGGGTTCTTATAGTTATAGGGTGCACTTCGTTGAGCTAGAATTATACGGAGGGTCCCAGCCTTCATCATGATCATCATTACCCGTGGCCTGCTCAAGCAAACCTGCATCAGACCACAGGGAGGACTGCAATGACAATTGCTAATAGCATGCCCTAATTTCACAAGATTCGTGAATCTTTTTGCTCGTGCTGCTTGCGATTCCCCCGTAGCACTTCATCGAGTGGGCGCTAGCACAGCAACGCACATGGGCAATCGCACAGGGTCAAGGTGTCCTAGGGTTATATACTATTCTGAAGGGCCATGGGGCTGGATTCCTCATGTGCGTAGCAAGGCTTGAAGGGGTTGCATGATCAGGCGGATGCTTTGCATCCTGTAAAGCTTAGACACCGCTCTTTGCGGGCTTAGCCTTGGACTTCGGGGTCTTCCCACCCTTTGAGGGCTTGTCTTTGGCACCTTTCTTATCCTTGCTGGACTTCTTCTTCCTGTCCCCTTTTGGGGATGCGGCACCATCGGCTTTGATAGACCTAGGGTTTAACTAGATAGAACTGTCGAATGAGGAGAGTGGCAATTGATCATATAAGACCCATTTCGGCTAGGTCTCTTCGAGCGTACAACGTAGTTGTTCATCAAGAGGTCCTGCTTTGTAGTTTCAGCGAACAACTTCAACAGGCTGTCGAGGAAAGGCCTCAGGATATGTGTTCGAAGTTGCAGATTAATAACGTACAATTGGCTCTATAGAGTACAGGACTTTCCAAGTAGACTTTCCCAACCAATTAGTGCTAGAGATCTACAACACAATTTAAGTCCAATTGGCAGGTCCCGGGGCGGGGTCAGGGAGTTGAGCGACAAATTGTAGCTAAGACCACGGCTTGTCTGGTGTCTTTGAGATGCACTCTGCTTGCTTCTGGGTCATATCCTTGAAGAGCGACTTCATGGAATTCAAGACTTGCGCAATCTGATCGCGTAGCCTCAGAATACCAGCATCACTTTTGCAACCCAGAAGATCATTATGAATAGGATTAGACCCCGACACCGACGACAGACGATCCTGCCACAACAACACTGCTACCATCCTGCTGCTACTACTATTATATACTGTTAGTACTGTACCCGCTGCTACTACTACCACTACCACTACCACTACCACTACCACTACCACTACCACTACCACTACCACTACCCTACCACTACCACTACCATATTATATGCTATAAAATATACTCCTACTACCTACACTACTACTACTGCTATCTACTACTACTCCTAGACGATTACTACTACTACTACTACTACTACTATACTACTACTACTACTACTACTATTACTACTACTACTACTACTACACTACTAGTAGCTATAGTACTACCATACACGTAATCCCTAAACCCTGTAAACCCCGAACCCTCAACCATAACCTTGCAAAGCCTATAAACCCTATAATAACCCTATATAAACCCATAAATGCATGCAAATCCAATCCATTTTTGACAGTGACCTAGGCTATGTACATATGTATGGGCCCCTATTACATAATATTACGAAGGATTCGATTTGCATGACTTCAGGATTTTCCCAGAGCTGTCCAGCACATCTTCGGAGTGGTCAATCTTCCTGCCCAGCACTTCTAGAAATCCTGGCAAGATGCTCAAAGGCGAGCTTGTTTGCTGAAGACTCGGGAAGGTGAGCCTTAGATGTATATTGCAACACATGCACATTATGTAGACCTTCCCATAGCCCTAGCTAGCTGGAGTCTACAGATTTGATCGAAGCTAAGTGACTTGAAGCTTGCCGACGCACTGAATGACTCTATCCGTGCCGCTGCGGACCCTGCAGGATCCGAGGAGCTGCCCGCAAGGCCATTGACAATCGAGGCGTCCGTTGCATCAATGTTCGGGATGTCTGAGCCCAGCAAGAAGCCCGAATCATCCTGGCGGGTATGGGTGGTTGTATACACATGGTATTTTTTAAGGCTAGGCTATATAGCTCACCTAGGCCAAGCGAAGTCAACTATAGATAGCTCGCGAGCTTTTGGAGCTAATTAATTTAGCTAGGGAAGCTGGGTATTATTCTGCGTGGGGGAAGAGGCCACACAATCCATGCATATATGATGGGTCCTGCATTTCGATCGTGCCATCCAGCTCCGTCTGGTGTTGGGTGAGGTCGGCGCACTCAAACTTCTCGTTCAAAACCAAACGAGCTTCCTCTTCGAGGTGTACTCCATTCTTCCGTAGAAGATTGTTGCCTGCCGCCCAGGCCCAGGCAGCAGATATCATCTTCCTTGGGGCCCATGATCGATACATCTAGCTAGAGTACTGCCATGTAAGTTGGATCCGTATATGTTAAGTTCCTGGCGGCGTCCAATGCGCCACTGCACTAAGGTAGTGCTTTGTGACCCAAGCACCGGCTTTCGTCTTCTCATACGAAGACCGCTGCAGCTTCTTGACATGAAGCTCCAGGGTCCCAAAGTTGCCGTGCTGCTTGAGCAGGTCCCGAAGCTTGTTCCCTAAGAATCGAAATCAGGCATGTGCTAAATTTTTCATGCATAATTGCATGAGTCAGGGAGTACACAAATCAAAACTAAGTCACGGCCATCCTCCGTTTTGTAAAGGGCCAGAGCCTCTGGCGAACACTTCAGGCTGCCGCACTGCTTTGGCTGAAAATACCTTCTCAGCCTCGAAAAAGCCCAAGCAACCACATGAGCAACCACATGCACGCATGCACATCACATGCATTCGTATAGTAACCAGTCCAGGCTCTTCCAGTATGTCGGGCTCTTGCTACGGTGGCTGGGCTTGGGCAGGCTTTCTCCCAAAGTGCTAGGGGGGCTGCGGGTTCTTGCTGGAGAGGCAGTCATTTCCGAAGCCTTGCGCTTCACTGGGGTGCAGCTTGGGCGTGGCCTAGCTGGCAGTGGAGCAGTAGCCGGGTTTGGTGGCAAAGCAGCCGCGGGTGGAGCAGTAGCCAGGCTCGGTGGCAAAGCAGCCGTGGGTGGAGCAGTCGGTGGCAAAGCCGCGGGTGGTTCAGTAGCCGGGTTTGCAGGCAAAGCAGCCTTGGGGGCAGCAGTAGTCGGGCGTGCTACAGGACGCTTGGGGGCTGGCTTCGGGAAAGGTCGCTGGGCATCCTCTAGGGTACTGTCGTAGGAGTCGCCACTGCACGAGTTTGATTTTCTAACCAACTCAGACCCAGCCAAGGGTACAGCAAAGCCGCCCGTCACAGCATAGTTCGAAGTGGCCCTGGCGATTGCCGGGGCACCTCATCAAAATAACTTTATAAGCCCTCGAGATCATGTCAAACAGATCATGCGCCAACCCTTCATGATTAAGACTTGCCTGCGTGCGCCGTTCCGTCACCAGCATCCTGCTTCAGCAAGCCACGCGAAGCCAACTTGGCTTGCAGGGCTGCAATCCTGGCCTTGGAAGCCTCAGACAGGATGGATGTTGGATAAGGGTTGTCTTGCGGTCTGCCTTATATAACGACTTAGCCAGGGTTATAGGGTATAGGGTTTACATAGGGTTTATATAATATAGGGTGCCAGATGACCGCAATCTTGTCCTTCAGATCGAGTGAGTCTTCCATGGGGGCCATGGAATTGTGTTGTAGCAACGGGATTCCCTCTAGGAGCAATCTGCAAGACCACTGCCGGGAAGTCATTCAGCAAAGTTGCTCGCTTAGCCCTCGTAAGCCCTTGCCACAACATGCATAGTACATATATTATACTTGCATGTTTCCAGTGCCCAAGTGGACCCCGCACAGCGAGAAGCCAAGAATATCATGAAGTCACAGGCAGCCTGCGGCAGCCTTATTTCGATCAGCTGGAGACATCTCGGAGGCGGCTCAGCACGAATCAGGCCGATTTTTGAGGAATCAGCTTGAATTAGGCCAGGGTTTGATACGCTTTTTCGGTTTGCGGCCGGTTGCGGGAATTTGCGGCCGGGTTGCGGAAATTTGCGGCCGGGTTGCGGGTAAAAAGGTCCGGAAAAAATCCAAGTGAGCCCAAGAGAGGTCCAAAAAACATATCAGGCCGATTTCTGTTCAAAAGTGGCCGCATGGTTGCCATTGATTCTATACTGGGTCTGGGGTTCAGGTTTCATGAAGGGTCCAGGGCTACCTGACCCCAACCCTCAAAGGGGGTCCTATACGGGGCGTCTATGCTTTAAAGGTTTGATCGTGGGTCTTCAATGATTTGGACATGGTTCGCAAGGTCTGGGGCTGTATTATAATATATATAATCCATAGGGGCTAGCTAGGGATTACCATAGCCATAGGATCTGGGGTCTGCCAGGCTGTCTGATCAAACTCTGGCCTCGGGCAAGCTTGCCCCTAAAGCTAATTGCGCTGCAAGTCCTGCAGCTCAGACCGCAGGTCCTCCGACCCACATGCCTCAGGTAGCTCGTCACATCTAATAAAATGCAATTGCACGCAAGTCTATACTGTCCTGCTGCAGACTAGTTGCTTGCTCACGAACTTCCATTGTAAACTTTGCCATGACGTCTGCCCAGGAGTCTGGGATCCTGAGATTCTATTGGTAGGGTTTATTAGGGTTTAGGGTTTATAGGGTTTAGGGGTTTAGGGTTTAGGGGCCCTGTATATAATCAAGTCTAGCGGCTGTACGTGCTTGCAGCCAGCCAAGTAAAGGTAGACTTCGTGAACCCGACTGTCAAGCCACAGGTCTCCAAGAGGGAGAGCATCAAAGATTTCCCTGTCGCTCTTAGACAAGTCCACCTCCTTGCGACCTCTCAAATCACCCCGATCCTTTCCTGGCACGGCCCGCCATTCCTCGTACGCCTTGAGCAGGTTCTCGCCAAACAATCTTGTGTAAGCCCTTAGCTCACCAAGAGACATGACCAGAGAAGCAACACCAATCCGGAAGTATGGGAACAGCTAGCGCTAGCATTTAAACTAGCCCAGGCCACCCCGACTTCTTCAAGGCCTGCTTGTCGCCGCTGAAGCACTTCTGCCCCTTCTTGTTCAGATGTTTACCTCGGCAATTCTATTCAGGGTTTGGGGCCCCTTGGTGCAGTTTTAAACCTAGCTAGATGCTCGCCACGATGCGGGTAGTCTTCAGAGAGGTTCGTGCTTCGCGTTCAGATTTGGTGAGAACCCCAAGATCAAGCATGTAGATCGTTCGCATAGGTGACATCAGCAGCGTAGGTTTGGGAGAGGGTGCTCCATGCAACATCATCCACAACGACTGCTGGTAGACCTGGTAGAAGGCTTCGATTCTCAAAGCTCTAGAAATAGCACGTCCAGTTTATGGCTAATAAGTTTAAGGCAGGAAGCATAAGCTATTCGATTCACCAACCAATCCCATCTGTGATGCTTCGGCAAAAGCGATTGGGATGGCTGCTCGACCACCCATTGGGTATGTTTGGCCATCATGAGGAGGATCAATAACACCAGCCTTATAGTGTTATACTTCCCCACCAGAAGAGCACATGGATTCACAAGCAGCACTGACCGATCATATTTGAGCAGAGCATCCGGCTGACTAAACAATTATTTGCATCAACGCATTCGATGCCAACCCGTCCATAAGGATTGATAGTGGATCGCATGCTGGTTGCCCTGGCTGGTATTCCCCATGACCCGCAAGCAGGGCCAATCATATTCATGGCGTCAACACATTCATTGAGCACTGTCCATAAAGCGATCCTAGGATTGCATCCGAGCCAGGTTGAACCCCCTATATACAGCCCAGATATGTACGTGTAATATGTATAATACTTTAAGATATAGGGGCCTTAACGTACATATCTGGGCTGGCTAGATTCCATAATTAATCCGGAGCCAAGAAACGAATAACCTTTGCTGGACAAAAAGTCCATCGGGTCACCATACAGCAAATCGTAAGACGCCGTGGCATATCCATGCTGGTGCCTGGGGCCAGGGTTCGAGGTCTTCGGGTGATTTTGGGAAGGCACTGGGTCAGGGCTATTTTGGTAGCAAGCGGCCAGACTCGTGTCACGGCACCTTCTCCAGAAAACAGTTCGAAAAACATATACTTCTCCGAGAAGGTGAGGGTAGTCATCCATCGAAGCATGATCACCTAGGAGTTTCCAAGAGGCTTGCCCTGCTTTTGTGGGTCCGCTGTTTCGATCTATTGCATATTGCATGTATAATTTCAGACGCCAGGCAGTGGCTATAAAGACCTCGGCTGTGAAGAGTCGAATTATAGCAGAGGATCTACATGGGAACATCGTTGCGGGGATCACATCATGTGCAGCCAACTTTACTTTCGGAGCTTGAAGCTGGGCCAGATTGACCACCAATGATTCAGCATCCATGTTTGCTGAAGGCACAGAAAACGGAGGCTTCAGACCCTGTACCCTAGCTATAATTAACAAACCATTAATTGAATTTATAGGCCTATATCTCATACCTTGCTATAACCCCAACTACCCCTTGTACAATGTTATAACTCCACAAGCCCATTTATATATAAATCCCTATAGGAGCCGCGTATAAACGTTTAGGGTTTAGTGAGCCTAGAAGATTAATATATATATATATATAATATAGGGTTAGGCGGGGAACTCCAAACCCTGCGCATGTTTGAAGGGCGCGAGTCATGATTATGTATACTGGCTGCGCCTTAAAGCGGAGTCTGGCAAGGGTCTACACATGCTGAAGCCAAATCATCCTGCGAGCTATATATAGGCAAGCCCGACCACAATGAAGTAATACCAAGCCCGATGGTCCCAGCCTGCAATGGAGGCCCGGACTTGCCATCCTTGGACTCGTTCTCTTCGAGGAGGCATCCTGGCATAATGTTGGGCGTGGTTGGGTAGGGATCTAGCAAGCTAGCAGCTGGGTGCGAATTTTAAAGGTGCAGGCGAGCTTGCAAGCATCATATTTTCTCACAAGCTTGATCTTGATTTGTGGCGCGCGGTGTTCACACCGGCAAGCTGCATGTAAGAAAGCCCCAGCAGGTGCTAGAGAGGAGCACCCGTCTAAACCCCATAATTACACATCAAGCTGCAACGCGGTTGGCTGCTGGCTGTATAGTGCAAACACAATACCCCGTGATCATGCGATCACCTCGGCTCATACACGCTATCACTCTGCCTGCTTGTATGCCTTAGCTGCACGGATGGGTCGTGTTGCAAAATGCATGCCCCATGCACATGCAAAATATGTACATCGCATGAGTTGTACTGGTCCACCTTCTTGGCACATGCTTTGCACTGCTCTTCCGTCTTTCCTTTGGCTTTTGCGGCCTTGTAGGCCGCGTGGTATGCTGAGCTCTTTCTGGAGTATCGGGCTTTCTGCTCATCTGACAAGCCTCGCTTGTTGCCATCCTTGCTATTCTTAGACGAGGACGGCTTTGCCTTGTTTTTTGCTTTAGCCTTAGGCTTCGGCTTTTCCGATGTCTTTGCGCTGCGTGGCTTGCTCTTTGGTGCTGCTGCTGCTGCTCTTGCCTTGCGCGCTTTGTTGCATGCTGGCTCCAGATCCTGCTCAGGCTCTGGGGTTCCCTTCTTGGCTCTGCGGCTTGCTTTGCCTACAGCTGTTCCGTTGCTGGCTTTGCCCCTCTTAGGCTTGGGAAGGCTCTCATCCTCCTCCGTTTCACTGGCCTTCTCGTTGCAACTCTCAGTTTCGCGCCCCCCTTGTGAAGCACGATCCTCAACTTCATCATCCATTGCTTGCTTTTCTTCCTCTGGCTCCTCCTGGTGATCACTATCGGTTTCGTTGTCATTGGGCTCCTCATCCTGATTGCCGCGTCCTGCATCGGACTTCTCATCCAAACTCTTATTCGTATCCTGCTGCTTTGCTTGCCTGCGTCCCCTACCCCTACCCCGACCTTTGCCCCGACCACGCGCGTGCTCCTGACCTGTTGCTTTGCTGGACCCACGTCCCCTGCCACCCCTGCCACGCTCCCTGTCCCGTCCACGCGGAGCTTCCTCATCACTACTGGACTCACCTACGGCCTTCAGTGGCTCTGTTGTCTTCTTCTTGGGCTTCTTTTTTTTGGGAACGGCGCCACTTAGCTTGCTTTGCTCAGCTGGCGACAGCGGCTTGGGCTCCACACTGCTAGGACACTCTGGCAAGCACTCATGGAGGGCAGGCTTTTCCTGTTCCTGGGCTGGCTCTTCCTGATCCTTAGGTATATGTAGTGTGCGCTATACAATCATGCATGTACGTTGAGCCAGCTAAATTAAATGCAATGAATGCAATTAAGCATCGCTGAGCTCGGGATCAGTGTCGAAATCAAGATTCGGATCAATGTCGTACTTCACTGTATGGCCCGAACGGAGGGTTGACCCATCACTGAACTCGCCCTCGGCATCTACCTGTGTATCCTCTACGCAGTCAGGATGAAAAGCACTCCTGGCAGTCCCACGTAGCAACCCATCGCAACCTTCGTGGGTTGCAACCTCGAGATGAACCAAATTCTGGCCAAGGCCCAGATCATCCTTCTGGTCCGCGTCGAGGCCTGCGAACTCGAAGTCATATGGCTGAGTTTCCGCGAAGTCGATAAGACCTCATGCAGGGATATATAGCTAGCATAGATTCGGGGTAGACCCTAGCTGTATCACTGCATTGCAATAGAATATTAAGGTAATGCTGCTATGGTACCTGTGCCGCTCCTTTCAAAGACCAGGGCACGCTTCGCAACATCTTCGGCTTGCTGCAATGTAGCTTTACCTACTTTGCCATCGATGAGAGGGGTCCAGGTTTGCTTGACAGGGCAGGAAGGATCTTCATGCGCAAGGCTTTGGATTTTGGCCTGCAACATATCCGCTTCCTCCTCACTGCGAAGAAGCTCTAGCAAAGATGCTTCCTGGGCCTCTAGATCCTCAAGGGCCATTAACTCAGCGTGGTGATTCACCAATTCCTGTAACATCTTGCCCTCAGCTTCCAGCTCCTGCAACTCCTGAAGTTGAAGCTTCCGTGCGTGGCGCTCGTCAATATCAAGCTGCTTGAGCTCAGGGCCTGGTTCAGCATCCTCAATGTTACATGGTTCTTCCTTGATTTGCGACATGTCTTGACCTGCCCAGTTGCAATTGAGGCATCTAAACCCTGCTGCTCTATCCTTGACAAAGTAGTGGATCCTCTCACTTTTAGCAGCCGAGCGCGGTGACTTTGTGGGACCTCGTGAAGTAATGCGTGAGTCTCCCCAATCATTGCAATTTCCAAGAACCATTCGCAGCCAAGTAGCATCTTGGGGGTGGTGTCACAACCACATGTGAGGAGGACTCCGACAGCAAGTCTGATGGTGTGGTCGACACTGGTCCTGCGTTTGGAATTTGATCGAGGGTAGGGCCTGTAAGGGTAGGGGGCTTTGTGGGGCAAGCACAGCTATCTAGCTTTAAAGGGCTCCTCCCGCAAGTGCCGCGAGCTTCGGGGCATCAATCACCTTGGATGTGCACAGGTTGTGTACAATCGCATGCTAACAGTACTCGGATCATGCATGATAGCAATTCTATTTGAAGCCTGGTAGCTAGTTTTTTGGTCACACGATCACCAGCAGCATGCCCACGGGGACCCCCAACACAAGCTGGGTATGGCAGAGCATCCATGCTGGGTGGAGGCAAGGTCGGGGCAGGGGTAGGTGCCTCATCACGGATTGGTGCAGTCTCATTCTGGGCCTCATCACGGATTGGTGCAGTCTCATTCTGGGGGGCCTCTTCGGGACGGATTGGTGCAGCCTCATTCTGGGGGGCCTCTTCGGGACGGATTGGTGCAGTCTCATTCTGGGGGGCCTCATCACGGACTGATGCAGCCTCATTCTGGGGGGGCCTCATCACGGATTGGTGCAGTCTCATTCTGGGGGGCCTCATCACGGATTGGTGCAGCCTCATTCTGGGGGGCCTCATCACGGATTGGTGCAGCCTCATTCTGGGGGGCCTCATCACGGATTGGTGCAGCCTCATTCTTGGGGGCCTCTTCGGGACGGATTGGTGCAGTCTCATTCTTTGGGGCTTGTTCGGGAAGGATTGGTGCAGTCTCATTCTCTGGGGCCCCATCGCGACAGATTGGCGCAGCCTCCATGCCCATGTCTACTTCAATATCGTCCTCAGCAGCCTCAGATTCCCCACCTTCGGCAATTGAGGATTCACTAACGCCATCGTCGGAAGCGTCATCATCATCGTCATGCGATCCTGCGGATCCGGTACCTGGGCGCTGGAATTAATAATTATGAGCTGGGAAAGGCCGGAGGTCATGAGCCAATTCTACCTAGACACTTGATGGGATGGGAATATTGGATTGCCGGAAGAGATCTCGTACGCCAGCATCACGAGGCTCATGGGGTCGTTTTGCACACTTGGCAAATATGGTTATGAGCCTGCGAATGACCCATCCCTGCGTACGGAGCTCTGTGCCTGCCACGATAGCAAGCTTTACATGCTGATCCATATTATAAACCCTATATATTTATATAAACCCTAGCTATATAAACCCATATATGCCTATCTATATAATGATATATATAAACCCTATATAAACCCATTATATATAAACCCTGTACATGTAAACCCTATATAAACCCTATACAAACAAAGCCAGATAAACCCTAAACCTAAACCCTAAACCAACCCCCAATGTCCCTGTTCCGACCTGTTGGCATCTTCTTGGAGGCTGGCAAGTTAAACATGTAGAATCTCGTCAGGTACTCCACAATGTAGTTGATGCTGGGGCGTAGTCCTGGGATGTAGCGGTATAGGATGATTTATATTGACCCCTTGATGCATGGACTTCAAAACTGCACTCCCCTAAGGTTGCATGACTGGGCTCCAATGTGATTGATCAAGGGCGCCAAGAGTTCCACATTATCTGATAACGTAGGTCTTCCCAAGGTCTTGTGCTGCAAGATCAAGAGAGTGGGTTTGCAAACCCTGTTCATGATCACATCAGATGTCATCCATGCCCGGAGCACCGGACAATCAGGGAGCTCACACTTGTCAGCCATGTTTCGCAAAGCAGGGCCTAAACAGAGTCTCCTGCAAATATCTAGATGACCGGATGGCATTTCCCATATGCGTACAGCTAGATCATGGAACTGCATGTAGTCTTTCATAGAGCCGGCTGATCGCGTACACACAGCTGGAATTTCAATGCTGTAAAAAACCAGCTACGTGGACCTATATGATGGTTAATCTAATGGGCCATAGATGTTAAATTATATATAGTCCAGTTACCTTAACCACCATATAGGTCCACATGCAAACCTCCAAACAAGCCCGATAATATTAAGAAGGCCAGCCGGACGAATCATACCCATCTCCATCGATCCCATTTCCATGTCCGCCTGCAGCAGTCAATGGGCTGAGGTATGGATGCTGGGGATGCCTTGGCGCATGCACAAACATACATTGAGAGCGCGCCTCTGGGTCTGCAAACCAAATGCAAAGCTCGAGAGCTGAAATAGCTGCCAGATCCCAGGCAGCTGCTATCTATTGCTCAAAGACCCTCCAATCTTAAAAGTGGCCGCTTTGGGGAATTTATGGACGAGCCCATAAAAGAGTAACACTTCCGCAAATTCAATAACAAATGGTAGGGGGACGGAAAAAAGAGTAGCGAAAGAACCCCTAGGTAGTATACTAGAACATACTATAGTATACTAAGATAGACTATAGTATACTAAAATATACCATATTATACTAGAACACGTGTGATGTGTTCTTCAATATAATTTGCCCAGGCTAGCTTTGCTAAGCCTAAACTCTGTTTAAAGTGGAAGTGACGGAATGTCAGCGTTGACAGATGGGGGCTTCCGAAAATTCAGGGCTCCCCTTGCAAGGGGACTACTCTCTGTATCTGATGTATTTATATGGGATAGATAGAACCTTATAGGAATTCACAAGTTCTAGGGCTTCCCTTTGTCAAAGTGGTGCGGATACGGGTCATAGCATTCGCGCATAGGCAAGGGTGACCCTGTCTTTTTTTAATGTCCACATATGTGACGTGGTAGCTGACCAAAAACCCTAAACCCTAAATCCTAAACATCCCTAAACCCTAAACCCTAAATCCTAAACATCCCTAAGCCCTAAACCCTAAACCCTTTAGGGACCCTTGGCATACACAGGCCTTCTAAGAGGATCATCAGATGACAGGCAGTATTTGGAGAAACTGCGCTCCCACATCTTGCAGCTAAAAGGGAGGGAATGAAGAAATGGAAAACAAGATGGAAACTACTTGGGGGTCATAGTGCGTGTTAAGTAGATAGACTATGGGGTATTTTGGGATCATATTATGGCATTGGGCAAGACCATGTTCTATCTACTTAAGGGGACTGTTTAACATAGATATATAGAGGTACATTGCTGGCTTGCTTGCCAAATAAAGGTAAGAAACGCTGAGCTTTTCTAGGTGCTTTCCTTCACCCCCACTTAGTAGCTTCAGGATGACTCATTCGCCACCCATCGTCAGCCTTGGCGTGCGTAGGTTTTTGGCGGTGGGGCGGTGGGTTGAGGATCAAAATGCGCTTAGCTTCAGGTAAGCTTCCCATGAAACGGCCACGCACATTCAAGTACATGAAAATGTTAGGTGCTTACCAGGGCCCCACACCCTAAACCTATAGGGCCAGCATTTGAGCTATAGTCTAAACTCCCTTTATATACTCCCCTATATAACCACCCTTTAAGGACTTTAGACTATAGCTCATTTGGAGAAGAACTCATCTGGGATGCTTGGCTTGAACCATAGAGCAATCCCAGAACTAATTTGGAACCCCCAGAAAAGGGCCTACATAGACCAGTGTCCTCTGAAAACCCTAAAGCCTAAACCCTAACAAGGGGTTCCATAATGTTAGTTTGGTAGAGCACAGCCAGGTGAGGGTGGCCAAAAACCACGGTTAAGGTTGAGGACTTAGGCGCTTTAGGGTTTAGGGCATGGCTCAACCAACAAGTGGAAGAGTATAACCCTTTCGGTTTACGGCCCGATCTTGTAACAACATGCCAGGGCTTGCGTACATGGAGCTCCGAAAACGACCCTTCGAAGACTAGCAGAAAACCCATCCTTTAAACAATGGGGCTTATGGCTTTCTATGTGAGTCTGGGGGAGGATAACCCGCGTAACGCCATGTATAATGCAAGCTGGCAAGTTAATTCCAGGGAGGGTAACTTGGCTGCCGCTTGCGCCGCTGGACTCTAAGAACATTCCCTCCAAGGCATTTTGTATGACTTTTTCTGCGAATGAAAGCTGTCTGAAAAGAAACCTTCATGACTTGATACATCTTGCTAAACGCAGCCCTTGTGGCGAGCACATTGAATCAGGATTGTATGAAAGGCGTGCGCCACCTATCAGATCTCGACCCATGGGAAACAGCCGTGTCCAAAAGAGTGGAGAGCCTGTCAGCAATTCTCTGTACGTAGGATTAGATCACAAATGCTCTGCTGACCTCACACTACTTCTACTTCAATCGAGCCTGCAAAGTTAGCTTCTCCAAATAGCCCCAAAGGCTATCCCTTATTTTGGGAAGCCCCCAACATCCTCTTCTCAATGTTCGGAAGATCCGGGTCGGATGAGGGATCGTAGATGGCGACCCAAAGCGTGACAAACCTATCTCTGATCCGCTTGTAATACAACAAAAACTGCCGTAGAACCGAACCCTAAACCCTAAATATACCCAGTGCTGTGTGTATAGTCCCCCTTGAGTAAATAGAATATGGCTTTGGGTATATTATAATACCCATATTCTATATACTTAAGGGGTACTATAGGTAGCGGCCTGGAATGTTGCCAGTAAAGGCTTGTAGGGTCTGGCCAAGTGCAGCCCATGTGTATGGGCAGCTCTGTTCCTAGGATACCTACCTTTTCATCCATGCAGAAATGTCATAATTGCCGACATAGCCACGTTGGCCACATGGTCTGGAGCAAAGCTATGCGAAAGTCATAAGAATCAGCAGGGGATGGGTTTTGCCAGTTCTACAGACACGCCTCTACCTTAATCCCGAAACCTCTAGACGGGCCCAATTGACACAATTGCGTTCTCCTTCGTGGCAGGTGTAAGTAAAAGCTATAGTATATAACCTGGTGAAAACATGGTAGTTTCCCTAAACAGGGGGGCCTCAATGTAGACCCCCAACTACTATAAACCTTACTATAAGGACCCCCCAAAAGGTACCCTCAGCTTTGGGGAACCCCCACATATCCTATGAACCACGACATAGTCCCAATTTCCATGTCCATTATTCCAAAGCCTTCCTAGCCCAAAACCTTGCGACGGGTTTAGGGTTTAGGGTATTTTCCATGTGATTCTGCATTATTCCTGGAAATCTATACCATGAACCTATCCCGCAGCTCTTTTCACATCCCGATACAACCCTCCTATATCCTTATGTCAAACCATACATCCTTTCAATAGCTGGGTACCTCAAGCCCCTAAATCCATATACACCCCTATACATCCTTCTAACAGTAAGGTACCTTAAACCTGTCTTCCCCAATAACCAGGCCTAAAAAAGTTCAAACTTTAGTCTTTAGTATGGGGACCAAAAAAGGAAGCCCAAAAAGGTTAAAGTTCTTCTATGGGCTAAGTAGGAAACTCGTTCAGAGCTTTCAACAGCAAGGTACTCTAAACCCTAAACCAACTCGCTTAGTAGTAGCTTCCATTTTCTTTTCCGTTATCCCATTCCTATCCCTATATATATATATATATACACCTGATAACCCCTACATAATCCCTATAATCCCTGGTCAGATCCATTTTCTTTTCCATTATCCCATTATCCCAAGATATATACCTGCTAACCCCTATACAATCCCTGTTAGCTTCCATTTTCTTTTTCATTAAACTCGTTCAGATCCCGAGTCGCTGAGGCAAAATTGTTACACCTTCACGTTGGGAAGAAGCTGCTTCCTCTCCTCCTCCTCTTGCTCGATCCTTGGGGTTGACAAGGGGCTTAGGGTTTAGGTTTTAGGTTTAAGGTTTAGGGTGCGCTACAGCCAATACGGTTGAGGCTTTAAGGCTTCGGCGTTTAAGGAATATTTCCCTAGACCCTAAACCCTAGGGGTTTTGCCACTTCTCGATTTGTACGTGTCATCCTTGCGCAGGGGACATGCTAATATTCTCTGTATCGTTCCAATTTTATCGGATGATCCCCGAAGGGAATCCGATAGTGCGGCATGCAA